AGGGTTATGCCCTAGAGACTGCGACTTGTGTATTGAACCGTATGCCGTTAAAGTCTGTAGATAAGACTTCATATGAACTATGGAGTGGGCGAAAGCCCATTTTGTCTTATCTAAGGATTTGGGATTGTGAAGCTTATGTCAAGAAATTGACTTCGAACAAGCTGGACCCAAAATCTGAGAGATACATTTTTATAGGGTATTCTAGGGAAACCAAAGGGTACTATTTCTACCACCTAGAAGAGTGCAAAATTTTTGTCCCTCGTACTGGTGTCTTCTTAGAAAAGGAATTTTTCTTAAGAAGTACTAGTGGGAGAAAAGTAGAACTTAATGAAGTTCTAGAACCACAAGGTACATTAGATGTAGAACAGGAAGATGTGCCACAGGAAGTGGTTGAACATCGTGGGAGGTCACTCCACAATCCATGGATCAAAGTGAACCACCTCAAGTAGCATAGGAGCTACGTATGTTTAGGAGTGTACGCAATGAGCCAGAGAGATACGGTTATCTCGTGACTCAACATGATGACGTACTAGTCTACCAAGACAATGAACCCAGAACCTATGAAAACGCTATATCGGACCCAGATTTCATTAAATAGCTTGAAGCCATGATAACTGAGATGGACTCCATGTACCAGAAACAAGTATGGTCTCTGGTGGAACCACCTGAAAGGGTAAAACCCAAAATTTGTGAATGAGTCTTCAAAAAGAAGACTGACATGGATGGCAATGTGCACACTTATAAGGCACGACTAGTTGCCAAAGGTTTCAAACAAATTCATGGTATTGACTATGAAGAAACCTTTTCGCCGATTGCCATGATTAAATCCATTCGAATTATGCTTGCGATTACAGCATATCATGATTATGAGATTTGGCAAATGGATGTCAAAAACGGCTTTCCTGAACGGAAACCTTGAAGAGGATGTGTATATGACATAACCCGATGGTTTCGCTCTTGATGGTCAAGCTGATAAGGTATGCAAGTTGTAGAGATCCATTTATGGACTCAAGCAAGCTTCAAGGAGCTGGAATATTCATTTCAATGAAGTCATAAAAGAATTCGTTTTATCAAGAACGAAGATGAGTCTTGTGTTTACAAGAAAGTGAGTGGAAGCGTAGTGACATTCTTAGTATTGTATGTCAATGACATACTTCTAATCGGGAATGATATACCAAACTTGTAATCAGTAAAGACTTGGTTATCCAAGTACTTCTTCATGAAGGACTTAGGAGAAACAGCCTACATCCTCGAAGTAAAGATCTAGATCATGTAGGTTGCTTGGCCTAAGTCAGAGTACATACATTGACAAGGTACTGAAGAGATCCAGTATGAAGGAATCCAAGAAGGGATTTCTTTCGATGTCACATGATGTCTATCTCTTTAAGGATATGTGTCCTAAAACACACGATGAGAGAGATAGAATAAAGAGGATTCCATATGCGTCAACAATTGGATCCATCATGTATGTCATGTTGTGTACTCGGATTTATGTCTCATGTGCATTGAACACTTGTAGCAGATATCAATCGGATCTAGGTGAGCATCACTGGATAGCTGTCAAGAACATCCTTAAGTACATAAATAGGACTAAGGACATGTTCTTGGTATATGGAGGGGAAGATGAGCTCACTATAAGAGGATACAATGATTCTAGTTTCTAAACGGATAAAGATGATTATCAATCGCAATCAAGGTTTGTATTTTGTCTCAATGGGGGTGTAGTGAGTTGGAAGTGCTCCAAGCAAAGCACTGTAGTGGACTCTACAATGGAGGCTGAGTATATTGCATTATCCAATGCGGCTAAGGAGGCAATCTGGATTAAGAAGTTTGTCACTGAACTTGGTATGGTTTTCGCAATTGTTGATCCAATAGATGTCTATTGTGACAGCAAATGGAGCAATCACTCAAGCAAAGGAACCACGATCTCACCAGAAGTCCAGAAACATACTCAGATGTTTTCATCTCATCAGAGAAATGGTTGAAAGGAAAATTATACATATCAGTACAGTGCATACTGATGACAATCTCGCCGATCCACTGATGAAGCCGCTGTCACAGCAGAAGCATGAAAACACTTAAGGTCATTCGGTATTAAATACATGAATGATTGGCTATAGTACAAATGGGAGATTATTAGAGTAGGTGCCCTAGAGCCAATCAATTATTGTAACATTGAATTTGTAATAAATGTTTATTTATCAATAAAAAGGGCAATTCTTCTATATCGTGTATGTAATGATATAGGATGGTAGAACTGTGACGAGGGTATCAAGTGTTTCAAATCTTGATGGTAAGAACCCAATGATCACATATGGTGGCCATTCTAGAAATGTCAGTAGCTCCAATATTATTCTGACCAAGGACACAAATAATACGGTAAGGCTATCATAGTGTTGAACAACCTTGTCGAAAGGTAGTGACGGATCTCACTTGTCAAGGTTGTTTGCCGACAACCTGGTGCAACGCATGGGTGCTTGCTAGAGGCAAGTTCACTGGACAGACCCACCAGAGGATTTCATATGGATGGTAACCCCAGTGTCAATGAAATAAATCCTCTAACGAATGGTGGTGCATGTGATCCTTAGACTTGAGGTCACCAGAGTGCCTTGTGCACCGATTGGTGTGGTTTGACACTAACCCAACGCAGTTCTATTCAGAGCTGTCAATACGGTAGTGATTGGCTGCATCAAAGAGTGTATCAAGACTATGGTGGATTGACAGAGGATTCATCACTCCCGGGTATGGGAAAAGTTATCTCACAGCGCAATTCAGTGAATGACAATGACACTGAAATTGTGGCCATAGTGGGATTGAGTTGTTGTATAATCTAATTTATTATTCCGGTCATTGGTCCAGTAACTGAATACATAGAAATCGAGGATACTGAGGTTGACACTATTTCTGTACCTTAGTCTCGATGACATAAAAAATGATGAAAAGATTGGATTGCACGATAACCATATCGTTGACAGGTAGCTGTTTCACTGAATCTGAATCTATCGGGTGACCATGATGCCTTGCTAGGGGCCAATCCTGGTCTGTGAGTAGTGAGACAATTAATTGGTGTTAATCGCGATATTACTCACTGCCGATGTGATAAAGAGCCTACGGGCCACACACTTGGAAGATAATTTAAGAATCATTTTTGTGAAAGGAGTATTTTCGTCTTTTAAGACGAAAGGGTATTTTGGTAATCTCATAGTGCAATTAAATTTGCTGAGGTTGTTGCTTGTATTTAATTATATATATTAATAGATTTTAATTATATTAATAATCAATTAAAATTAAAGTACCATAAAGGGTGTGTTGGTTGCAAGGAGGAAGATAACATTCGGAGGTGGTTGAACAACTCGTTATTTCTACGGTTATCTTCGTCTGGACGACGTTCGTGCAATTCTCTTCTTGAATCGACAAGCGAAATCAAAGTATTGAAGGAGCCTCCAAACGTTGATAATGTGTTCTTGATCCTTGTATGGATTATTTACTATGATTTATATTGTACAGATTTTCTGTTTATTAACCTGTAAGCAATTTGATCTATACTCGGATCTTGGCGTAGAAAGTGATTGATTTCTGTTTTAATTTGTGATTTTTTTGTTGCCTTCTTGAGATCAATCACTAACATTATAAAGTAAGAATTTTTTTGAATAAAAAAATAATTATTATAACTACACCTCTATTAAGTTATAACCTCCTCATAGTAATAAATTTAGTTGGTCTCAACATTATGACTATATAAAGGTTCTATTGTATAAATATATTCACATTAATTTTTCTACAAAAGTTTTTATTAACCCCTCTACTCTTTAATTTTATTTTATATTAGTCACAGTTCTCGGTTCCGGTTCCTAACTGTATGAATCGAAACCGAAACGCACAGTGATGGTTCAAAAAATTTGAATCTGGAACCTACCTGTTGATGGCCGGTTCGAACCAAACCCTAGGTACTTATCGATTCCGGTTCCAATCGGTTCTTTTGACCACCCCTATAGTAAATCATGTATGTTTGATTTATTTTTAGTAAGTATATGTTAGTTTCAGAAATACGACATAATCCCCGAGTTATGTTTTTTGTTTTTTTAAGTGAGTATCGGTTGGTTTTAAAAATATCATCAATTAAACCTTCAAGTTTATCAATAATTTCATCATTTGTACTCGGAAAAAGATATTAATCTTTTAATATTGTTTACAGATTTTGAATGTTAGATTGATTGAATTTGAATAAATAGTAAAAACATTATTTCCTTAAATTTTAAATATAATAATTTAACAATCTAGTAAAAAAATGGAGATTAAGGTCATATTTTTTAAACTATTTAGTACTAACTATAAAAAATTGTAAATGCATGGGAGTTTGGGGTGCATTTCAAAAGCTAGAAAGTGTTCACGGCGAAAAGACCAAAACCCCAAATATTATACAATTATACATTTTTTACTTAATATAAATTGAATAATAAAAAAGAATCACTGTATTATTGAATATTAGGCTTCACAATCATCACAAGTAGTAAAGTACACACAGCTTAATTGTTTATTATTTCTTCAAGCCATTACTAATAACAATATGTGATAATTGGTACAAGTCAAACTCATTAGTTTATAGCGATTTAGACAGTAAAACTAATGGGTTTAGGTAACTAGTCAAACTACAAAATTGTCATTATTAAAATTAGGTTTTTTTTTTTTTTAATGATTTTTTTTTGTTATTTGTTTTTCGAGTTTGGAAAAAGGAAGGCAGAGCGTGTAAGTGTAAGCATCACGTGAGTGATATAAAAGAAAGAGAGGGCAGAGAGCGCAGGGAAATAGCAAATAAAAGCATAATTGAAAGGAGAGAGGGGCAAGAGCAATTACAATTACCGCTTCCAATCCCATCGCTTTCCCATCCATACCCAAACGAAATCCAGATAACAACACAATCTAATCCTTTATCCAATATCATTATCCCACGTGTCTGATAAAAGTAACCCATCTCCATCACCCCCCCTCTGTACGAGACCTGAAACACCCAACCCCTTTCCATCTTCTCTTTCCTCTTCCCAATTCACATTTCACTCTCTTCTCTCTCTCACACACTCTTGATTACAGGAGGATGTGCCACCACCACCACCGCAAGAACACTCCTGTTCCCCATGCTACAAAACCCAACACCCGCTCTGCCACCGTCAAGAAGAAGAGAAGGATATCAACTAAAACTACGACTACTTCAACTTCCGTTTCTTTAAAACCATCTCGTAAAACCAGAACCAAACGGAGAAAACCAAAATACCTCAGTCTTAACTTGAAGCTTAGCCCTCAGAAGAAGCCGCAAACCTCTAAGAAGAAGACGAAGATGACGAACAAGCTGCATCAGCAGCTCACTCTCTTCCCTCTTCACCCCGAAAACTTAGTTGAAGACACTAAAGATCACATGCATGAACATGATAATGAAGATAACAACGTTGTCGCGAGCTTCCTGTTCGACACCGCCACAGATAGCTCCACCACTCTTAACGGTCTGCTCACTTCGTCCACCTCCGAGCAGGAGAGCCCGGCAGTGTCGCCGCTATCGCTGACGTTTGCGTACGGCGAAGATCGTTGTGGGGATAGTAATTACGGGCTCGTACGGACGGCCATGAGGTGTAAAGAGAGGGACGCCAGTGAGGAGAAGTGGGTGAGTTACAGTGAGGTTGTGGAGAATAATAAGATTGTCGTTAAGGAAGAGGAGGTGATGAGTAGTAGTTGTATTGATGATCATGGTCGTGATCGTGATCGTGATCGTGATCATGATGATGTGGATGAAGGTGCATGGTGTATGAAACAGGTGCAGGGGCAGAAGAAGAAATTGTTATTGGATTTGAAACTTGATTACCAGGAGATATTGAATGCGTGGTCTGATAAAGGTCCTCTCTATGTTGACGGAGAGTCCCCACAAACTGTTCCTGAATTGCACGATGCCACTGTAAGATCCATCTCACTCCATTATCGTCAATCAATCAATCAATACTATAGAATATATACGCATGCATGTGTATGGATGTATGTATGTAGGTATGCTGTCATGCATGCATTTGATTTTTTTTTTTTTTTGGAATTATGATGATGAACATGTAATTAAATTGGTTGTATGCTTGGATTGCTGTAAGTATCAGTACTTTAGTGAGTGGTTTTGTTGAGTAGTGTATGGGGTAAATCGTGGGAATTTTTTTGGCAGACACCTTTTGCCTTTCTTTTGGGGGCCCAGTGCACTTTTAGCCAGCTGTTTATGGCCCAACTCAGTGTGGCTCGTAGTATATCCCATCCAAACGCCCCATACAATAAAAGACATTCAATAAAGAGTTAAAGGACTTTTTCCCTCCCAAATGATAGCATAACGTCTTTCCTATTACTTTTAAAAATACTATTTTATTATCCAAATTTATATTTTGACTGTGAACAAGGAGCAAACTTGTTCCAGACTGTTGGGGCTTTTGGAGAGGGGAGGTCGATGAGTCTTTTAGTTGTGGAAGATTGGATTTTGGTGGTTAGAATTGATTGGAATTTGACTTAGAAGGGACGGCTGTACAAACCCTAATCGTTCTATTGTTGGCGATTGGCGGGGTCGACGAGAGTATGGTTTAAAGGGTTTTGGTAAGCGATGATCGGGGAAGAGAATGGTGGTGGTGTGACATCTCAACGATGTTGAAATTAAAAATGGAATATAAATTTGGATAGTAAAGTGATATTTTAAGAGTATGCGGGTGGGAAAGTGTCATTAAACCATTATTTGGATGGGAAAAAAGTCATATACTCTTCAATAAAATCATTTTATATTTGGAAGTCTTCAGACCCTCGGCTAGTTCTCTTTTATCTGCCTCATTACTATGTTCTTATTGTTTAAAAGTGAATGTATGTGTGCTGAAATTTATTATGCTTATTTCACATAAGACAACAGCATATATGATGGGAATGAGGATTTTGGTGGATGACGAAAAGATGATATGATAAACATGCCATGACAATTTATTTTTTTATTTATTTTTTTTCTGATAAAAAACAATGGAGGGCTTGATGATGATTTATGTTTGAGTAATTGTATTGGATGGCAATTGATTGAGTGTGTATTTGTGCTGGGCCAGCTGCCAACGGATGCTTGGAGCAATGTTGGCAATTTGTGGAGTGTGCCTGAAAGGGCTAGTATTGACGGTAGCGATTCAGTAGAAGGCAAAGAAGGTTGGAACAGAGAGCATAGAGAAGCAAGTGTTTTGAGATACAAGGAGAAAAGGCAAAATAGGCTTTTCATCAAGCGCATCCGATATGAAGTTCGAAAGCTAAATGCTGAGAAGCGCCCTCGTATGAAGGTACCCTTTGCTCCATTCTTGCTTATTAGTAATCAAGATCCCTGTGTAATTACGAATTCAGTGGTATGATTGCATATTTTCAAATTTCCATGTTCGCATTTTCTCTAATGTAGAGTTAGGTCAAATATATATATATAGGTTGAGCTAGAAATATCATGAGTTCATTGTTGATCATGTAAGTTGTAACCTTAGTTTTAAGGACTCCCTTGCATTGCATCAACAAAGCCACTAACTCGATAGTATCTCCTTTAGAGTCATTTTAAGGTTTCCGAGAAGCTAACAAATTCTCCTTCAATTTAGTTTTTATTTTGTAGTTATGTGTATAGAATTTTATAGGTTTTGTCTATCCCTCTTCATCCTTAAACTTTCTAGCAAAAGGCAAATGAAATCTGGATGTGAATACTCTAAAAGGAATCCGTCATCCATGTGTAAATATTGAAGTACAATCTTGTCATTGATCTTATTTGTTTTTTTACCGTAATATCTACCCTTTAATTTCATATTCAAGTGTAATTAAAATAAATTTAATTGAAACTTTGCAGGGTCGATTCGTGAAAAGATCGGAAGTGTAGTTATATGGATATAGTGTTGTTGCTTAGAAGAGAGTGGTACTCGGGCTTATTTACAAACTTTTTCTTCTCTTTTATCCCTTTCTTTCTTTCTTTCTTTCTCATTTGTTCGATTATGCATGCATGTCAAATAGCATAAGCATAGTTTTGTTCCCACCCAATATGAAAGAAAGAAATAAAAAAAAAAAACAAATGATATAAACTACTGTGGAGGTACTGGTGTAAATTAATGAGAAGAAGTGCCAACTTTGTAATAATAGACAGATTAGATAATATACTACAAGTTACGAGTTGCAGAATGCTGTTTAAGTGTTAAGATAGATAGTTCTCTTACTACATTGTTCTGTGGTTATGGCGAAGAGAGAACGAAGTTAATCTTTAGATATTTTCTATCAGAAATTTTCAGTGGCTGAAGAAAAAAAGAGCACAAGGAATCTTCATACAGAATCGATTTGGTTATGTTCAGTTTTGCAGCTTGTGCTCTCTATGCAAAAACATAATCACCATCAGAACTAACATCAGATTGAGGAAAAAAAAAAAAAGGAGAAGTTCTAGTATTAGAAAATAGAAACCAAGTAGAGAAGTTGAGAAAATTTTGGAGAGAAACTAAGATGTTGATATAGTGGAGGTGCTGGAATTTGAATAAAAGTAATTTTAAAACAAATGGCTGATTTGATGAGAATCACTTGTTTTAATGTTCATCAATCATAATTAATGAATCAAGAAATTTCAGGTCTTCTTGAGCATTTACTTCTTCATGGTAATTAATTTATCAGATGATAAGATTGATCATCAAAACCATGCATCATGAATTAATGTTGGTATATATTTACCCAATTAATGATAATGCTGCCTGCAATTAATAAAAACCGAAGTCCTAAGAGAGAGAGAGAGAGAGAGAGAGAGAGAGAGAAATATTCATATATCATGCATGGGCCTCTACAATTAAAGTCTGCAGGGTGAACAATGGGCTCTCTGTATCCTTCTGCCTTCAAATATTACTTGTCTTTTCATTCGTGTTAGTGTTCTACTGTTCTGTAGTAATGTCAATATGATAATGATTCACAACCCAGGAAAAAAAAACAAAAATAAAGATGATGACTCAAAAGCATTTAATCTATACTCTTCTGGAACTCTCATAAACTAGTAATATAAAAATATAAAATACCATGTAACTTCATATTCAATCAATCAATGATATTATCAAACGTTGAACAATTCCACCTAACCGAAGGTCTTAGAACACACCACATTCCTCTTTCCAAATCACAGTTACAATGAAAAGAAGCCCCGAGAAATTTCAAGAATCACCCCTTGTTTCTTATATATACATACCATTAAACACCAAAACATATTATCAATAAATTCCATTTTCGTACAACACAAGTTTCATCGATCATTAACATTCATCATGTCGCTTATCCCTAAACTGCTTGGTGATGAACCATTTGATCCCTTCCTCTCAATGGTTAACCAATGTCCAGTCCTCAACACTCCAACGGATTGGAAGGAGACCCCAGAAGCCCACGTGTTCACAGCCGATCTCCCAGGGCTCAAGAAAGAGGAGGTGAAAGTTGAAGTCGATGAAGGCAGAGTGCTGCAAATAAGCGGGGAGAGGAACGTCGAAAAAGATGATAAAAACGATAAGTGGCATAGAGTTGAGCGTTGTCGTGGCAAGTTTCTTAGAAGGTTCAGGCTGCCTGAAAATGCCAAGACGGATGAAGTGAAGGCGTCAATGGAAAATGGAGTGCTTGTGGTGACCATTCCTAAACAAGAAGTGAAGAAACCAGAGAAGAAAGTGATTGAGATTGAAGAAATCAAGGGTTGAGAAAATTATAATGAAATATTGTGTGCTTGTTTGAAATTATAAATATGTTTGTTCTAAGTGTGATTTCCTTTTTTTGGGTTTTTCTCTGTAATAATATTCTACCATCAGTACCATGTCCATGCAAGGTACAAATTAATAAAGTATAATAATTTTTATTTATTCTATATATATATATATATATCTTTTTTTGGGTATTGAAGCCAATAAATGAATTAATTTTATGCTTGGTCTTTGTGATTAATGCCATAAATGAAATAAGGGTATTTGATATAGTTTTTTATTTTTTTTCTTATGATAAAAACTTCGTACTTATTGTCCAAATGTCATTTTTAGAAGCCAATTATTATGGAAATAATATTTAAAACAAATTTAATGTTTAGATTGAGCAAATATAAATATCTAAAATTTATTTTAAATCTCAGTAACATAATAATGGTTTGATAATAATTTTTTTTTTTTTTTTTGTAATACTGTTTAGTTCATAAAACAGTTCTTTGGTAATATAATGTTTATATTTGAGAAAATTATTTTACTTAAAATAGTTGTTGAAATAAAACGTCAAATGGGCTTAGCCCAAACATACTAGCCTGTTGTGACCCAAATCTTCATCTAACGGCAAACTGATAGCACAGACAACAAGAAACATTGAAACTGCCTGCAAAGAAAGAAAATTAGAAATCAAAAGCAGAGTACAACTAGAGTTCACACTTTTTTCTCTAAGATCAGAGGGTGGTTGATGGCACCATTTACCTACGATCCCAAATCCCAAAAAAAAAAAAAAAAAAAGAAAAAGAAGATCCTGGAACCGTTAAAAAAAAACACCTCTTTTACCCAATAATGAATGAACTTCTTGACACCATCAAACCCCCATTTATTTGTGTTTGTGGTGATACGTTCTGATAGTGCCCCTCCCACAAGATTCTCCTTTTTCTAATGCACATGGTAATGCTTATTGATATTTTCCATCATAAGTTTAATTTTGGCAAAAGCATTTTACTGACTCACCATACCACTGTAACTTCCGATTAGAAGCTGCTTCCTGCCTTGCTTATCCATTAAGTAAGATGCACAAAGTGCACCTGAACATGTCCACCAGACAGCAAGAATCAGTGGCTGCCAAACAAGCAAGCATAATTCAACTTACGAATGTACTAAAAAAATTTCCCAGATCTCATACCTGCAAAGTTTGTAATTCCAACAAATAAGCTTGGCAAAGCACCATCTGTAATTCCAACATCTTGGAAAGTCAATGATGAAAAATAAAGGACTCCATTTATGCCCGCAAATTGTTGAAGCATAAAAAGGGCACCTCCAATGAATGTAACTGCACCCATACGAAGGAAAACTATCATAAAACTTTGATTTGTATGCTCGTCCGACATATATAGCTAAATTACAATTTAAAATCACTATTAGGATAGAATTCCAAGCCAAGGCATTATGCAACTACTTAAAAACGTAATATACAAAAAGGAGAGGGGTTAGGGGAAGAAAAGAATATTATATTGTACATGAAATGAGTAGCTATCTCATAAAGCAAAACATTTTTGCAACATCAATATGCCATAAATGCAATACTCAAAAAGCCACCTTGATACAACCTCTTGAGTGTGGTTCCTCAAGGAGTTCCAACCATTGGCTGTCCAGATCACTACCGTCATTTTTTATGACTGACTGAAACTCCTGAATTGCTTTGTCAACTTCAGATTCTCCCCAAAGATTACTGATAACAGCTTTGACATCATTCAACATACCTACCTACAAAACACCATAAGACAGCTTTTTCAAACGAGACCCAAAGCTATTCAATTTTTCTATCAAAAGGTGAAACAAGTCATACTTTACATAGCCAGCGAGGGCTGTCCACTGCAAACTCCATACCAAGTGCAAGAACAACACCAGGGACACTTGCAATATAGAACATTGTTCTCCACCTGAAAAACATTGTTTAATTAAATGTAAAGTTCCGGGATCCTCTCGTAAAAAAATATCAGGAATTTTACACTGTACATGGCAGAAGGAACTGTCCATAAATGCATGCAGGATATCACAAGAACATAAATAAACGTCACACAAGCATAAGAGTAAGCTTAGATCTGTAGTGATAGATCTAAATGCAACTAACAGCATATCTCATCAGCAACTAGGAGGAAACAATTAAAAAATAAAAATGAAAAGAATCTCACCAATGTGGATCATCTTCTGCAGGAATTCCTAGAAACAGTGATGCAATAATCCCAATGCAAGTACCAATCTGACACAAGGTTCCCAGTGAACCCCTATATTTTGTTGAAGCAACCTAAAAAACTTAAAACAAACCGAGAAATAGATGTTTAGTGAGAATTACAATTAGATGATTACTTAGGAGTTGTCATATTGTCCACTAAAACAAATTACTGTTACCTATACCGACAAGAGACAAAATTGAATAAACAACAAGAGTTGATATGAACAGGCAAGAAGATGCTAAATTTTCACCCGTTCCCATTACTAGAAGGCATAAAAAGGATGAAAATTCTTGACATCATGTGATGTGAGTATAATAGTAAATTCAGCATATTTGCTAATAAGCAGTACCTCTGAAATATAAATTGGAACAAGAACTGTGTTCACACCAATACCAAGGCCGACTAGAAATCTTCCCCATAGCATTTCATCCAAGGACTGGGCTTGTGCACTGATTAAAGTTAGGAGTCAAAATTTAGAAATGTCTTTAAAGCAAAATCATGATAAGATCAAGAAGCCATAATTTGTGGAGACAGCAATAGCAGAGTGAAAAATACATGAACTCATGTACAAACCAAAGTAACCACGTGCTTATACCCCCACCCAAAACCGCAATCCCAAAAAAGAAATTCAGAGGGAGATGAAGCAGACAAAAGGATTTCGATGGAGCACACCATTGTAATATGTATGTGAATTACCTTATAACTGCACCAAGTATCAACGGTATTGTATCAATTTGAAAAGTTCGCCGACAACCAAGTTTATCTACCAGAGAACCTGAGCTTATACTTCCAATAAATGCACCTGCTATAAATATGCTCACTACAAGTCCCTCAAGAATTGGATTTCCTTTGAACCCAAGCTCTTGAGCAATTGAAGCAATAGGACCATTCATTACCCTGCAAAACACACATTGTAGCTCCAGAAAATTTCACTTTAAAACCAAAATTAACAGATAACTGCAAATATTCATCGATGTTCCTGAATTTTTCAATGCAAAAACTTGTAAAGTCCAATTATCTAAAGTAAATATAATAAATTAAGTCATAATTAAATTTCCCTATAACACATGTATTTATCATTTTTATCACCTCTTCTTTAAATTAGCTTATTGGTAACCAAACAATCACCAGGAGAAATTCTGATTATGTTACTGTAGTATGTTTAGGAGTGCTTGAGTGCTTTTGACATCGTTAAAGGTGTTCCCGGACAGGTAAAAGTGCTTTTATAAATTTTTTAGTATTTGAAGTGTTTCTTGGATATCTACTATATAGATATTTTTTTATTTTTTTCCAAACGATTGAAGTTCTTTTTAAAAATTTTACGAGTGTTCTTCATAAAGACACTTTAAGTGCTTCTACTTAAAATGCTTTCTACAAAAGCACTCCCATTCCCAACCACAATTAGAACGTTTCACTTTATAGGTGATCTTCTTAAAGTGCTCTTCAGGTAAAAAATGCGATAAAAAATTATTTATTCATATAATTTTGAATAAGCATTTGAACGGTGAAAATGAGATCGTACTCAAACTCTCAAAGTCACTTTCTACTAAAGTTCTCTCGAAATGCACAATTACGAAGAGATAAAACAGTAAAATTAACAGGATAAACGGAGACTCACCCTATGTGATAACCAAACAGAAAATTAGACATAGAAGCTAACAACACGTGCGGAAAAGCAGGTAACCATCCCAAATCATGTCCTTCACTAGCCTTCTCATTATCTAGTGATAACAATTCTTCACTACCTGTAATTCAGTTTTACTCAAAAATCAAATTCAAACTATAAACAAAATTTCGTATAAATTGATGATTAAATTGAGTAAAGTTAACAACCTTGCTCTTCTTTCCGAGACTGTAACGCGGGAACTTGCTTCTTTCCCGCCGAAATTTTGAAATTAATCGGCCGATGCTTAAATCTAAAACGCAGGGTTTCAAGTTTGGGGAAAGGTGAAGAAACAAGATACGGCGGAGGAACCGAGAGAAGCGATGGAACCAGAGGAACCGGATGGTGAACTACGGTAGCCACCGGCATCTGATCACGGATATTTTTGCCCTTTTTGAGAGAGGAGAGAGAAATTATCGTAAAATCGTTTGTGATAACGCCACGTGCTTGGAGCTGTGGGTCCGCTATAAGGCGGGAAGAGCACGTGGCAAAGGCAATGTTTGAGGATAATTAATCGTTAGGGCTTTCGAGTAATGTTACGGTTATCGACGGATGTGCACTGAATTTGTGCATCGAATGACGTAACATAATCCTGACCATTGATTTATTATCAGTTAATATTAATCAACAGTCAGGATTTTATCATGTTATTCGATGCATAAATTCGGTGTAAACTTTTTGATAACTCTATCATTTTTCCTTTTCATTATATTTTATTAGGGATTTTCGTCTGTTAAAGGATAATATAATAATTTCATCTAAATATTTTAATTTTAAATCTTTTTGTCCATATCGATTCTCTTCTATTCTCTTTTGTTTTTATCTTCACTTCCCCTTTTATTTTTCGTCTCTCTTTTCTTGCATCTTTTTATTTCACTCTTTCTTCTTTCTTGAATTAAACCAAAAAAAATTTCAACCGATCAAAGTCATTAAAAATATATCACGACCACCAGAAATAAATTCAACTGTTGCGATCTATCTGGTTATAATGCGGAGCACTAGATCACATCACGACAGATTTATTGTTCTAGAGCGACATGCGAGACTTAAAAAGCAATAGAACTTTCAAAGATGTAACTCAACAAATACAATGTTGTAGAAGATTTATGCTAGTATTTAAGAGCTGCTAACAGAACCATTTTGAAATTGCTTCTTTTTTTTTTTTTTTTTTTTCTTCACTATAAACTCCCTTTGCTGTATTGAATTCATATTTTGTGTTATTTGTAATTAAAGAAGAATTTCATTACAAGTTTTATGTTCTTTTGAAGGAAGGATTTCTTTTAAATCATGAAGAATGTCAATACAAATTGCGTCAGTTGCAAATGAAACATTTTAATTGTGTCGCATTCTTTGTATGTCTTCACTTTGTAATTTTGCTACCACAACAGGGATAAATTGGTCTTAATCTTCAAAAACCCCAACGTTAAGTTTTACAAACTCATTGGACAAACTGGTTATTCCACTAACCCATAAAAACTTCATGGCATAATTGTTATTTATTGTAATGATGTGGATATTTATATAATTAAATTAGTTGACTTCCCATAAATTGATTAAAAAAATATATGATATCAAACTTTCAAAGACATTTCAATATTTTCTATCATTGTTGTCCTTTAGCCGATGAAAATTTCTAACAGAATATATCACTACTAATTTATCTTTACAAGAAATTTTGGGCGGATCCCGTAATATTAACGGCTTTGAACGTGTCATAGTGGATAAGTGCTTCATTATTGATTGCCTTGCCCGGATAGGGACTTATTTCTTCGCCACGTGGAATGAGTTGGGGTGAATGTTAATAAATTCACGCAATAGAACAAAAGCTTGAACTTATACCAAGTGTGGGCATTTATGAGGATAAGTGTAACTGTCATCACTCATCAGTTTTAATTATGATCTCCTCCATACGAGATTTATAAGTTTCAAATGTTACTGAAATCAAATTTAAACCGTTATACGTTGTATGAAATTTTCAGAATGGACAAAGGTCATAAAATTTGCATATGTTACATTAACGAAACAGATGAATTTGAATTCAAAATAGGGACAGATCTATGATGAATAATAATTAAACTCTTAATTTATGATACTTTTACATCACAAACATAGATGTTATAGGGCTATTAATTCCACCATACATGAACAAAAATAATAATTCATTTGGTGTACCAACAACTATTAATTCGCACCGTATAACTAAATTTCCGTGTAGGCCAAATTCCTAGCTGTTATATGGCTTCATGCTTCAATATTATGTGGTTGAGATTTGCACATAATGTATGAAATTGAAGTGTGCACCGACAGGTTATTTTAAAGATAAGATGAATAGCCAATGAAGCTTTTGATATTAATAGTTATTAATTTTAAAATGAATCCACTTATCGGAAAAGGGTTAAAATAAAATCAGTGTTATTTACGATTAGGAGTGCATTTAGTACTTGTAGAAAGTAGAAACAATTCTGTTTTTAGAGTAAAACGAAAAAGTAGAGCTAACTTTATGTTTGAATCAAAAAGGTATGTAGTGTATAATCAATTGATTGCATTTTCATTCAAATTTCGTAGCCTGACCTGACAGAGGGATCAAAGTTTTGGTTGGTAGGTTACTAGGTTTGAGGATTAGAAACATGATTATGGCTTATTTCCTATATAATTGCATAACCTCACTTTATATAATGAATATTTAATGGGCTAAGTTTAGTTTGTGATGGTCCGGGCTACATATTAGGTTAGGCTATGGACATGTAGGCACTTGGTCCACCATTTTGAAATCGATAAACACGTTGTGCTTAAAAAGAATTGACAATGACAAGGACATCCCACACACATCTAAATTCTAATTCCACCATCAATAATAAACGTTCGTTTTTAAAATATAATTTTTTTAAATATCCTTTGAATGGCTTAATTACATATTTAATAGTTACTTTATTAAGAAATGCTTAAAAGAAAAATATATTTTTATTTGTTACTTTTCAATTACATCGTACTGAGAAACATTCGCATAAATTCGGGAAAAAAAGTTGATACTGTTTGGACAGTTATAATTAAAAAATAAAATCTGAATTTACACCAGCTTTTCAAATTCTATAGGAGTCAAATCAGAGAACGCTATAGTAAACGAATTCAAATTTGTAAAAGTTTTTGAAATTTTGAAAAAAAAAAAATTACAGTCCAATTAACGGAATGTCGGCCAGGGAACAGGGCAGGTCCACAATTGAAGTCGGTGCTTGACATCCAACAGCCAAACAGGTCTTACTTTTAAAGTGCCAGTCGCAAATACTGGAGCTCACCTCTGGCTCTGGTTTTCGGCAGTTGAACCATGAAGTTTCTTACACGTATAGGTAGCACCGACACTTACCATGCTACCTTGGGAAATTAAATAATTTAAACTAAAGTTCACGTCATATTCATTAAAATGGCGTGAAAAATGACATTCCATCCAAGTAATTTTACATTTATACTACTTTTTTACATTATTTTTACTATATCATAATATAGCATATGTCACAATCACATAAATTTTTAATTATTTAAATTTTTTAATATTATAATAAAATTTGTGTGAATGTGGTATATATCACATCATGATGTAATAAAAATTGTGTAAAAGAGTGGTGTAAATATAGCATTACTCAACATTAAACCAATTTGATGTAAATATATAATGTCACGTTAAATTTAGTGTAACACTATTTATGTACATGAATTTAGCATGATTATGTTCAAATACTATAAATTTTTTTATTTTTATTTTTGTTATTTATATTTACGTTACTTTGATTATTATTTATAATAATTATATAATTCAAAAAATAATAAAAAATTAAAAACAAAACTTTATTCAATGCAAATATTAAACTACAATAACTCAAAATAAAAATTAATATTAATTTAAAAATACTAAAATTAAAAGAAAATACAACATAAACTAAAATAACAATTTAGTATTCCGGTAGATTATAAAATATATATTTTATAATCTAGTGGAACACTATAAAATATATATATATATATTTTTTTGTAGCATTTTATATTAGATGTAATATTTTTCTATATTAAATGTAATGTTTATTTGATTAAATAAATGTTTAATTTTATTAAATTAAAAATAATTTTCAAAGTAATTATTATTTAATAAAAATATCATTCTCAATATTTAATTAATATATATAAAAATAATTAGTGAAATAGATTAATTATTGATTATTAATAAAAAGAAAGAGAAAGCTAATATTCTAAATAATTTTTCTCTTTTTGTGAATTAGAGATGCAATATTGTTTCACACCAAAAATCACACCAATTTATTATTTGTAGAATTATAGTTAAAGATGGTCTAACAAAAGTCGCGGCGCTATAACTAATGAAAACATGGTTTTATTTTATGGTAAGAAACTATAAATATAAAATAACAACATATAATCAAGACGGGTATGGATGTGTAGTTTTGATTTTGTATATGACTTGTATCAGACATATCATATTCCTAAAAAAGGACCCATAATTAGATAAATTTATTCGTTGATTCAGTTGATTTATGACTCGTCAACTATTAGTATAAATTATGGTATTGGTGGGGCATTTGAGTCATAGGAAGTCCACACGGACAAATGTTTGGTATCAAATATAACCATATCAATTATTATTCATTTTTAACTACCGAAATGAAGCAATAATCCACAACTTTTCATTTGCATGTTCATTCACTTTTGAAATTTTTCTATATTATCGTTCATCTGCTATGATTATTAACTTACTTTTTAGTAAATCAAGGCCATTGATTATGATATGATGCATAATATCATGATGATTTTCTTGTTTGTTCACGAGGTGGGTCCATCAAATTCATCTTTCATTCCATGATAAAAAAGATATCTATAAAAAAATTTCAGTTTAATTTTACCTGGATTATTGATTTGGCATTGAAGTATCTAACTCTTTAATCCTTCCCTGAAAGTCAATTTGTTTTGGAGCAGTGGTCAAAGAATTTTGTACCGCAGTCAATCCAAACACAAAATCAGGAAGCTGATGAAAACAAATCAATTGAATAAAGCAAGTGGAAGCTAGAGTGAGTTGGGTTAATATATTGAAAAAGTCAAGTTTTAACCTAAGATTGATACATAACACTAAGACTATTTCAAGTTTTAACCATATATATGCTACAACTTATTACCGACAAAATGTAGAATCCCGCCGAGCCATTTCTGGAGACAACTCTGCACAGTCTTCCCCAAGAGAAACTTCTTCTTCTTCTCCTATACAATATTCTATCTATGTGACCCAATTTCAATTAATTATAAAATTGCAGTGCATCTCTTATTGTTTTGTGGGACCAGCAACCTTTGATTAATTATAATTATAAAAATGATGAACCAAAGGAGCCCTTTATAATTATAGCATAAGTATTTGGGCCATCTTAATATTATTTTTACTTCTTGATTATAGCCGCGAAAAGTTTTCATTAAAATAAATACATAAAAATTTCTTAGTTTTGAAATTTTAGTCACAAATCACTGTACATATTTGTCAAATATATTAATTCTGTTTTCATAGAATCTTTAATCATTAATTTCCTATATCAAAAAGTTTAATGCCTGATTAAAAACGACACTCAATAGCAAAATGAAGACTGGTTTAATTTTATTAATAGATTTTATAAGAAGACATGATACACCAAAATTTCTTGGTGTGTTAACATTCAAAATCGGCAGCACGTGCATGATTTAAGGTGATATAGATAGAACAAAAACCATGGCATCAGAGTTCACCTTCTTTTTCCAAAATTAGCACAACAAAAGCAGTAAACATTGCACAAATCACGCTTGAGTTGGAAGAAAAAGAAGAGAATTTCGCCCATCTCATGTGAAAGTCACATGCGCATCAAACATATACACCACATAAGACTAAAGGCACATTTCAAACAACACAACTGCGAAAGAGACTGTTAAGACTTCAGCTCTCTCTCTCTCTTTTCCATTGCATCCCCCCTTTCACTCCTAAAAAGCTAGCTTCTTTAGGAGGGAAGGGACAAAACAAATGGAGAAGAACAACAACAACATTCTAAACGAACTTCAACTTCAAACAATCCCAAGATTTTCTCTACCTAGTAATTCTCTTCTTCTCCTTCCTCTTGTGATTCCAATCTTCACCTTCATTTTCACTTCTACTGCTACTACAGTTTCTGCTTTCGACTATGCCGATGCTCTAACCAAGAGCCTTCTCTACTTCGAATCACAACGTTCGGGTCGGTTACCGTACAATCAACGCGTCACTTGGCGGGATAATTCCGGCCTCACTGACGGCTTAGAACAAGGAGTCAGTAAACTCACATCATTACGGATCAGTAGCCAAAATGAAGTATATATGTTTGTTGAAACTGATTAAAATGTTATGTTTCTTTGTGTGTAGGTGGATTTGGTTGGAGGGTATTATGACGCTGGCGACCATGTAAAATTTGGGCTGCCAATGGCCTTCACAGTGACAATGCTTTCATGGAGTGTCATTGAATTCCGAGACCAGATCGCTGAAGCAGGGGAATTGGAACATGCGCTGGAGGCAATCAAATGGGGCACAGATTACTTCATTAAGGCACACACTAGCCCAAATGTGTTATGGGCTGAGGTACTTAATAGTCTTCATTAGTCCTTATCTTTAATGCACTCAATAGTTTTTCAAATTATTAATTAATTTGTAACATGATGGTATTTTTGTGCTGTCTTAAGGTGGGTGATGGAGACACTGATCACTATTGCTGGCAACGCCCGGAGGACATGACAACATCACGACATGCTTACAAGATCGACGAGAACAATCCCGGGTCGGATCTCGCCGGAGAAACGGCTGCCGCCATGGCTGCAGCTTCAATAGTTTTCAAGAAAACAAACCCACATTACTCGCACCTACTCTTGCACCATGCCCAGCAGGTAACATTAAATTATTGATGTGATCTTATTGAGGTTCACTTAAAATTTGAACTAATTGGAGTAGTTTTCTGTTAAGTACAGTTAGGGAACTTAAAGTATAATATACACATTTGGTATTTGTTAAAGTGAGTTAAGTGGTGTAACTAACATTTAAGTGAAAGTAAAGTAATTTTGTTTTTTGTTTTTCTGGGTTGGTGCAGTTGTTTGAATTTGGTGATAAATATAGAGGAAGATATGATGCGAGTGTGGGGGTGGTGAAGAGCTACTATGCATCGGTGAGTGGCTACATGGATGAGTTGTTGTGGGGAGCAATGTGGCTGTACAAGGCCACCGACAGTGACAATTACTTGGACTACGTTATCAACAAGGCTCATTACTTTGGTGGGATTGGTTGGGCAATTACAGAGTTCAGTTGGGATGTTAAGTACGCTGGTCTTCAACTTATGACTTCAAAGGTAAAGATTATTTTTCTTGTATCTCTTACTGAAAGACTGGTTGGTGGGTATGCAAATTTTCAACACTGCCTGCATACTTTCCTCTGTTTTGTTTTGGTTTTTAGTAGGAAAAAGATGGGACTTGTCTGGGATTTTAATGGTTTGATGTTTACTCTTTCAAATACTTTGGGGATTTTGCTTTGTCACTGTATTCAACGATGAAATTATAGTATATTGTAACCTTTAACTCACACCGTTTCACTTTTTAGAATAAAGTGTTCACTGATTGAGTAAGCCCTAATTAAGGTACCCATCACAGCCCATTAAAAACATACACTAAATAGGTTCTCAAGAAGAACAAAACCATGTGGATCTGATGCTTTGCATGGCAGGCATTAAAGCGATGAAGTACCACATACATATGTGCTTCACCAGTACCCCTCTACTTAAATATGAATTGTATATATAAGACAACAATATGTTAAGAGATTGGGAAATCTGCCCCAAAAAAATTTTGTTTTGATTATTGCACATTATATTACAGAGGTATAGTGATGTTTGGTTTCTGGAGCCTTAGGTGGCGCCAGTTTACACTTTTTAGTGGGTTCCATTGTTAAAATGAAGTCAATGAATGGTTGCAATGCAACTGTAGTGAAACAAACACACTTAATTATTTACTTATTAAGACCCACATCTGTATCTGTTGGCTCGTTTGTTGCAGTAATTCTCTCTTATAAGTTGAAAAGATTTTCAGTGTTTGACTGTAATAGTTAATAATTCCACATGCTGCACATGGGTCCTAGGTCCACTATTCCAGAAATTGGGTCACAACAATAACATGCCAATAATGAGTGCAATTATCCCATCTTCTCCTCTGTTTTGTTATTCATAAAACAGACACCATAGCTCCCATCATGTCTCCCACCTTTTCATAAATTCAAAATTCCCTCTAATTGATTTTTTTTTTTGTTTTTAAACAGTTACTCGCGGAAGATAAACACAAGAAACATACGCACATACTCGAGCAGTATCGATCCAAGGCCGAGTACTACTTATGTTCATGCCTCAACATGAACAATGGTAGCAATATTGACCGGACTCCGGGAGGTCTCTTATACATTCGGCAATGGAACAACATGCAGTATGTTTCAACGGCAGCGTTTCTTCTCACTGTTTACTCGGATTTTCTGGTTAACTCAAATCAAAAGCTGAATTGTCATGGAGGGACAGTGGATCATGAAGAGATCTTAAGTTTTGCCAAATCTCAAGTTGATTATATCTTGGGCTCTAACCCGATGAACATGAGCTATTTAGTGGGTTATGGGTCCAAATATCCCACAAGGGTGCACCACAGAGGAGCTTCAATTGTGTCATACAGAGAGAATAAGGGGTTCATTGGGTGCACCCAAGGGTACGACAATTGGTACAGCCGGCCAGAGCCTAACCCGAATGTTTTAGTTGGGGCATTGGTGGGAGGACCCGATTGTCAAGATAATTTCATGGACCAAAGAGATAACTATATGCAGACTGAGGCCTGCACATACAATACAGCACCATTGGTGGGAGTTTTTGCCAAAATGCTGCAATTACAGGACCAAAATCCTTCGCAATCTCTGGTTGCTTCTTATTAGTAATAATATATTATTATACATATATTACATGAGAAATATAAATATAGTATTGAATTTTTATAATTGCTTTCTTTTTTTTTTTTGGCTGAACGAAGGTGTTCTAGCCTCCATATGTACTTTATTTTTATTATTTTTTGATCTTTCCCTAGTGTTAATAGATCAAAAACCTTACTATTGTCGCTTATTTTCTTTCTCTTTCTTTTGTCAGTGTAAAGGAATTAAAGAGAATTTTATGGTTCTTTGCGTTGTTGTAATGTCCCCTAATTCAAAGTAAAGTGAACAAATTGGGTATGGCTGCGTGGAAAAAGCTGCTTTCATGGTTAAAAAAAGAATTTGAGGATAGTGTATATGTAGCTCCTCAAAACTCAAAAGCCCTTAATTAAGGGTACTTTTGTTTGCTTGTTATATAACTAACGTTCCCTCTAACCCCTTTGGGCCTTTTGCCTCGACATATGATAAATTCAATACTTAAACCTTTTAGGCAGGGGTGGATCTAGCCCATGGCCCACCCTCAAATTTAAAAAAAAAAAAAAAAAAAACTAATATGTATAATTTTTGTATTTTGGTCCATCCTAACAAAAATATTAATATGTGATTAGTTTTCATTTTGGCTCACCCTAATCAAATTTTTGGATCCGCTACTTTTTAGGTCTCGAAACTGCTATACTTTTGGGATGTAGGATTGCCTAACTTGAGAAGTGAGAACCATTGCCTATATTAAGATTTGTATAGGTTTAAATGTGATTAATTCTGGCAAGATATTTGGTTGCTATGTAGTTGAGAGTTGGCTATTCAAAATTTTGTCCTTTCAAATTTCTATTGCTTCTGATGTTATTTGGAAGTTGAATTTATTCAGTACATATATGCCTAGTTGCATTCATGGAAGAATTCCAACAGTTGCTTTTATATTGGAATAATTTTTTTTTTTTTTTGGCTTGACTAACCTCAGTCGTGTGATTAATCTGGCAAGATATTTGGAAGTTGAAATAAAATGTCAAATGGGCTTAACTCAAACATACTAGCCCGATCTGTGACATGGGCTTAACCCAAACATAGTAGCCCGATCTCACAATATTTATTGGTTATTAATTTTAAATTTTACGCGTTTTTCCCCTAAAACGCGTAGCCTTTTTTGATGATACAGATAGTGTTTCCCTTTTCCTTATAAATTATATCCCAACCCGCCAATTTATTTTTCGAAGTCCCTGGAGGAGCAACGAAATTGGTGCCAACTTCCTTTCAAAGCCTCTCAACGAGCTACAAAACCTAGGTGATTATCTCCGATATTGAAGTTCAATTGCTTCAATCTCTTCAAGGAGTAACTGGGGGTGATTTTCGATTCCAATGATTTTTTTATTTGGAGAAATTTGTCGTGATTGTTCCTGGTTTGGATTCTTATGCGTTTTAGATTTATGTTTTTGTTTGAGATTAAGTGTTGTTTATTTTTAGTTATATATTGACTTTGGGGATTTTTTTTTTTCCTAGAAAGCCAACCCTACTAATCTGAAATTGGAGCCAACCCTAGTAATCTTGATTTTCAGTTTTTTTCTTTGCAAAGGACTGAATTTCTTATATTAGCATTTGATTTTAAATTTTAAATTCTGAATTTATATATTCTTCATATACCATTCAAATTGAATATATTTTTGGTTTTATCTATCACTCCGTTAATTGGGTGGGTTTGTGAGGACCATTTGTAAAATTGCCTAAGTTTTTGTTATGCAAATTAAACTAGGAATTGTTTAATTTGAGTTATTTCGAATTTTGGAATGTTTTTCCTTGAACGGGAAAAACCCTAATTTCGGAAATTGGACCCTAACATGACCCGACTGATCTTGATTTTCAATTTTTTGTCATTTCAAAAGCTGGAGTTACTTATACCAGTGTTTGGGTTTTCAATTTGAATTCTAAATTCATATATTTTTCGTTTACTAGTAGAATTGAATATATTTTTGATTTGATCTATCGCTCTATTTATGGGGTGGGTTTGTGAGAATCTTTAGTAAAGCTACCTAAGTTCTTATGATGCAAATTTGATGTAAATTAAAAAAGGAATTGTTTAATTTTGAATTATTTCAAATTTCAGAGGTTTTTTTTCCCTAAAAGGGAAAAACCCTACTTGCTGAAATTAGGCCTGATCCTGATCCTATTGATTTTGATTTTCAGTTTTTGTCCTTTCAAAGGTCGGAATTGCTTATACTAGCGTTTGATTTTTCAAATTTTCAATTTGAATTCCATATATTATGCTTTATCATATTCAAAGTGAAATTATTTTTGGTTCAATCGATTGCTCTGTTTATGGGGGTGGGTTTGCGAGAATCATTACAAAGGTTGCATAAGTTCTTTATGCTTGTTAAACTATGACGTTTTTGCTTTTATGACAGTTGATTTCATTTTTTTTCTTTTGCAAGCTTTAAGCTTGTCGAAGAGGGGTTTTGATACACCCACCTACTACAACAGACCAATTCTAACACAAATTGCAAGTACATAAGAAAAAGAGAGAACAAACAATTCAATGAATATACTTAGTATTGTATTAAGTGGAAGAATGGAACCAAAGAACAAAGTAAATGGCAACAATTGTAATCAGATAATATCCTAGCAGTTCGAGGAGGTAGGTGCCTCCACTGTTAATTCCCTTAAAATGTGCTTAACCCTCCTCAAGGCTAATCCCTTAAATCTATACTAAGTATCCCACAGAATACCCTTGCTCACACACTCCTCATACCCTTCCTATTATTCAGCCACGTGGATAAGATTCCCCTAAATAACTCTTCTTCACTCTCTGCCTTTAGTGCCCCTTTCCCCCTTCAATTTATAAACATTATGTATAGGAGGCCTATTAATAACCACCAACCCCCCCCCCCCCCCCCCCCCCCCCCTCTCTCTTCCTCCTCCTCCTCGTGCGCGCACACGATAATCCACCTTGTCTTCAAGGTGAAATTGAGTGCGTATTACATCATATGATTCCCATGTAGCTTCAAAGGAAGGTAAATCATTCCATTGAATGAGAACCTCCTTAGAGCCATCAAGGAGGGTATGTGGGGATGGGACAACAATGGGCTGAACTAGAAACTTCAGATTTTTAAAAAGAAATTCTTGTAGGGGTTGGACTAGAACAGAGCGATGCAAACTTCGTTTGAGCTGAGACACATGAAAAACTGGGTGTATTCGTGCTATAGGAGAAAGATCAAGTCTGTAGGCCACTTGACCAATGCGTTCCAAGACAGCGAAAGGCCTATAAAAGCGTGGACTGAACTTCTCATTCAATTTCTTGGCCAGGGTCTTGAACTTATACGGTTGCAACTTCAAATATACATAGTCCCTAGGCTGAAAACCAATATCCCTGCAATGTAGGTTTGCAGTTCCCTTCATGTACCCGTGAGCTAGAAGTAAGTTATGTTTGAGCTCATTCAACATTTCATTTCTCTTAGTCAGTTGGAGGTTAACATCCTCTACTGCAGAGGGATTGTAATACCCCATATTTTTTTGTATGAAATTTTATTTTGTGATTTTGAGGGGTAAAGTGTAAGAATTTAAAATTTTTGAGTGAGTATAGTGTAATAGCCGAAACAAGTGGAGACTAAATTAAAATTTTCCCAATATTTTGATGAACAGTGATCATTCAAAGAAAAGAAAAATTGAGAAGAAGAAGAAAGAAAAGAGAGAAGAAAATGGAGAGAAAGAAAAGAGAGAAAGAAGAAGAAGAAGAGGGGAAGAAGAAAAGAATGAAGGGAGAGAAAGATGAAACCAAGAATATAGAGAGAGATGCAAGAAGAGAGCGATGCAGGTGGCTGGAAAAGTGGTCGCCAGTGAGCAAAATTCTGGTGATAGGAAAGAGTAAAGGAAGATCAAGCATATGAAAGGTGAGTAAAGCTTAAAATTTCTTTCTTTGATGAGTTTTAGTTCATTTGATTTGTGTTGATTATAATTGAGTGTAATGGCATGAGATTACACTGAAATGGGAAGATTGAGTTTAATAATGTTATTTGTACATGAAATGTTTTTAGAAATGATATTTTTAGAGAAATATGAGTATTGATTTGTTTACCATAAAAGTTTTCAAAAAGAAGTTTTGCAATGAGAGATTTCAACATTGGTTACAAAAGATGGTTTATATTATAAAATGTGTTTATGGAAATGAGATTTTACAAGCATGAATGCTTTTTGTATATTGAAATGTTTTATTGCATACTAACCCACTCCCCACTCACTAAGCATTTTTAGCTCACCCCTCGTTTTCAAATGTTTTTCTTTCCCCCCACTAGGTCAAGAAGGAGATTGTGTAGAGGAGTGAATTACACTCAAGGTTGGGCCACACGACTTCATTTCATCATATGTGCCATAGTTGTGTTTTATTTTCTGTTGCAAAGTTTATGTTTCTTCATCATGTATTTATTTCATGTTTTGGATTGTAAAAGATATGGAAAAATCTGATACCATATGTTTCATTTTGTAAAAATTCAGTTGCATTAGTTTGTTTGCAAATGATGTTATATTTATTTGTGAGAAATAAAAAGAAGTGCTTATAAATGTTTTAGCTAGAAGAGTTTTATGATTTTTTCATTCATAAATAGGTTTCATAGTTTTCCCATATGACATGTCTTGGTCACTTGAGTCTCATAGGTGTGCTTGGAGCCTATGGTATAGGAAGGGTCAGGACGGGTCATGTCAGGGATAATCTGTAAACTTTAGGAGGATGGGAGGATCCCTCCCATAGAGGGCTTTGAATGGGGTCATTTGAGTGGAGCTATGATAGGTCATGTTGTACCAAAATTCTGCCCAGGGGAGCCAATGTGGCCACTGCTGGGGTTGGGATCTGCAGAAACAATTAAGGTAAGCTTCGAGACATCGATTAACCACTTTGGTTTGGCCATTTGTTTGTGGGTGATAGGAAAACTGAATTTCAGATTAGTCCTAGTTGCCTTGAATATATCTTGCCAGAATTGACTCATGAACACCTTATCCCTATCAAAAACAATGGAGCTTGGGAACTCATGGAGCTTGATGAAGATGGCTGTAACTTCCTTAGCATTGTAGGGGTGGCTAAGACTAATTAAGTGGCTGTATTTGATTAGGCGATCAATTACCACAAGTATAGTAGCCACTCCTTTTGATCTAGGTAATCCCCCAACAAAATCCATGGAAGTATCCTCGAAGACCTGGCTTGGAATGGGCATTGGCTGAAGAAGGCTAACTGGCTTCAAGGATGAGTGTTTGTTGAGTTCACATGTGGTACATGTTTTGACAAACTCCTAGACATCTCTCATAATTCCTTCCCAGAATATGACATTGGACACCCTTTTAAATGTCCGCTATTGGGATTGTAGTGAAACTCCTCCAACAATTTTGGAATAAACTTGGAACCTTTAGGAAGCACCAACCTATTTTTGTAAAAGAGACAACCCCTGCAAAGTTTGTAATGAGGTCTGCTGGATGAATAAAAAAGGAGATCCTGGATGATTACCTGAAGTTTGGGATCCTTTTGTGCCTATGATGCAAGGTCTTTGTATTCTAAAAACTGAACTACTGATAGGGCAACAAACTTACCCCCTTCTTCCCTTTGAGATAGAACATCTACCACCCGATCCTCAAGGTAGTATTGAATCTCAAAAGTGAAATCCATGAGTTTGGAGATCCATTTATGCTATTCTGGGGTTTTGGCTCTCTAATCCATTAAAAATTATAGACTGCGCTAGTCATTCTTGATGATGAATTTTCTGTCAAGGAGGTAATGACTCCACTTGTGCACTGTAAAGACTATAGCCATTAGTTCCCTCTCATACGCCAATTTTAGTTTGGATTGTGAAGAAAATACCTTGCTGAGGAATGCCACAAGTATGCTCTTTTGTACCAAGATAGCCCCAATACCCAAATCAGAACCGTCGGATTGAATCTCAAAAGGAAGGGAAAATATGGTACAGCCAAGACAAGGACAGTAGACATTGCTATTTTGAGCTTCTCGAAGGCTTCCTGAGCTTCCGCATTCCAACTAAAAGAGTCATTCTTAAGTAATTGGGTTAGGGGTTAAGCAATGGCCCAATATCGTTGGACAAATCTCTTGTAATAACTCGTTAACCCCCAAAATCCCCTTAGGCTTTTTACATTCTTCGAAGTTAGCCAAGATGTCATGGACTCGATTTTACACGAATCTGCTTCTACCAATTTTTCTGATATCAAATGTCCCAAGTACTCTAGTTTTCTCTGTGCAAAAGAACACTTCTTTTTATTTACAACCAACTCATTATCTCTCAAAATCTAGAAGGCTTGTTTCAAGTGTTAAAGGTAAGTGTCGAGGTTTAGGTTATAGACAAGGATGTTATCAAAGAAAATTATGATGAATTTCCTCAAGACATGTCTAAAAATGGAGTTCATTAATGCTTGAAAGGTTGATGGGGGCATTAGTAAGGCCAAATGGCATGACCAGGAACTCATAGTGTCCCTCATGAGTTTTAAAGGTTGTCTTTGGAACATCTACTTCTCTCACGTGAATCTGGTGATACCTCGATTTAAGGTTTAGTTTAGTAAATACCGTAGCTGCTGCCAATTCATCTAATAATTTGTCAATTGTTGGGATTAGGAATTTATCAGGTATAGTGAGGTTATTTAGGGCTTGGTAGTCCACACAAAAATGCTAACTATCATTCTTCTTTTTAACTAACAAGACAAGACTAGTATAAGGGCTGGTACTGGGATGTATTATTCCCACTACTAACATTTCACCTACCAGTTTTTCAATCTTATTCTTTTGAAAGTATGGGTATTTGTAAGGTCTGATGTTTGGGGGTTTGGATCCTAGTTGAAGTTCTATGGCATGGTCATGGGTTCTGTAGGGAGGTAGTTTGGTGGTTTAGTCAAACAATTGGCTATACTCTTCTATCACTCTGGTCATATTGAGATCTATCTTCTCCAACCTTGGTTCCTCCTTAAGCCCTATAGAGCCAAATTCGACTACATAACCTCTGCCTATAGCCTGTAAGGACCTGAGCAATTCCTTTAGAGATACTGATGCTTTCACCAAGGATGGATCCCCTCTCAAAACTACCATTGTCCCCTCATAATCGAATTCCATGGTCAATCTCGCCAATTTGAGCACACATCTCCCAAGGCACTTAGCCATGTTATTCCCAACACCATATCTGCCCCATCCAGCTCAAATGAGAAGAAATCTTGTTGGATTTCAATCTCTTGCAATTTTAATTAAACTGCTTTGCAAATACCCTCACCCCAAGTTGTATAACCATTTCCCACCATTACCTTGAAGGTTTTCCCTTTCTCTACCATCATCCCCACTTCTGAACTATCTCGTGGGAGATGAAATTGTGGGATGCCCCACTGTCAACCAACACAACCACACTCACATCCCCAATTTGACCCTTAAGTTTTAAGGTCTTATCAGATGAGATACCCACATTTGAATTCATTAAAAGGAGTAGAGGGTTACCTTCATTGTTGAGCTCTTCGTCAACTACAGCCTCTAGCTCTGGTTGTTCTGGTGTTTCGTCGTCCATGATCCCCAACACTTGTAGGGATTTGTTTTTACATTTATGATTTGACCCAAACTTTTCATCGCAACAATAACACAGCCCCCATTCGCATTTCTATTGTATGTCAGCATCCAACAATCGCCGGAAGTTGTCACCACGATAACTGGTTGCTATTGTCTCCATCGATCGCTCTCTGCGATCAAAACTTTTGTGGGGTGTTGATAAGCTTTGCCCTAAATCTGGGGGTCGTGAATTGGTTGTTTCCCAATTTAGGCGTGGGTTTTCTAGTATTGGGCTAACCTGATAATATTGGTCTATTCTTCTGAATTGGGCCTTATTTCCCCTACGCTTATTGTTCTCTAAGGCCCATAGCCTTTTTCCACCTTGTGGGCTTGATCCATTAACCCAAAAAGTGAATTGGGCTAGATCAACCATAAATCAACCCCCATCTCCTCTTTAACTCATTTAGGAACACTCCCATTAGGAAATCTTTTCTTAGCTCTTGTAGAGGCACTGCCATTGTGTGAAATTGCTCTCTGTACTCCGTCATAGTCCTTTCTTGCTTAATAGTGATGAGAGCTTCGTAGGATGATCCCCTGAATGACGGCTTATACTGATCGATCAATGCCGATTTGAATGTCCCCTAGGATAAGACTGGCGATCTCGATTCTACCCATTGATACCAGTGGAGAGCCCTCCCTTCCATACACACTGCCACTGTTTCCACCTTCTCCTCCTCTTCAAATCGGTTGATTTGGAAATATCATTCAGCTTGAAAAGTTCACCCAAAAGGATCCTCACCATTGAAAACTGGTAGCTCTAGTTTCTTGTACTTCCTGTCTTCTCTTTTGCCATCTTTTTCCTTAATTCGTTAAAGATCCCACTCTCTTTACTATTAGAGTTTTCTATCATTATCTTATTCTTCTCTCGATTCTGATTATTTTCTTTCTCATCCCTTATTCTCATCCATTCCCGTAGCTCAAGGAGATAGTCCTTGAGGTTTCCCACATCTATCTTGAGATTACCCAAATCTTCTCTCACACTTCCCATTTCCTTCTCCATCCCTTCCATTATGTTTTCCATTTTTGACTTAAACATACCCAAAAAAAAAAAAAAAAAAAAAAAAAAAAAAAAAAAGCTCTAATACTAGTAGATATGCCCACCTGCTACAACAGACCGATTCTAACACAAATTGCAACTACATGAGAAAAAGAGAGAACAAACAATTCAAAGAATATATTCAGTATTGTATTAAGTAGAAGAATGGAACAAAAGAACAGAGTAAATGGAAACAATTGTAACCATATAATATCCTACCAGTTCGAGGAGGTAGGTGCCTCCACTGTTAATTCTCTTAAAAATGTGCTTAACCCTCCTCAAGGCTAATCACTTAAATTTATACTAAGTATCCCACAAAATACCCTTGCTCACACACTCCTCACACCCTTCATATTATTCAGCCACGTGGATAAGATTCCCCTAACTAACTCTTCTTCACTCTCTGCCCCTAGTGCCCCTTTCCCCCTTCAATTTGTAAACCTTATGTATATGAGGCCTATCAGGTTTATATGGAAACAAAACCCATTCATGAAGGAGCTTGCAATTGCTTTGGATAATGCATCATTATTGTTTACTTTGAACTTGATGTTCTTAATACTTCATTATCTATTCTTTTCATTTTTTAATTATTCTACACTTTTAGCTTTGTATTCAATCTTATGTGACACATGATTATTAAAAGGTGAAAGTAAAAGGCCAATTCATTAATGACAATGAATGTCATGTTCAAAAGTTTTTATACTATTTTATATGTGTCATAGTATTATCCACTTTTTCTTGATCATATAATTATGATTTTTTAAGTTCTTTTTTTTGGGTACCTTCACATGCTTTATAATATATTGATTAGATTCACTTTTTACTACAATTTAACATTTATTTTATCTGATCAGAGACTCGTAACTTCACAGATTTTTGT